TTCTTCCCCATCTATTTACCAGGAATTGAGAGGGCCAGATGCCATGATTTTGGTTTTCTTAATGTTGAGTTTCAAGCCGACTTTTGCACTCTCCTTCTTCACCCGCATCAAGAGGCTCTTTAGTTCCTCTTCACTTTCTGCCATTAGAGTGGTATCATCTGCATATCTTAGGTTGTTGATATTTCTCTCGGCAATCTTAATTCCAACTTTTGATTCATCTAGCCCTGCCTTTCTCATGATGTGCTCTGCATATAAGTTAAATAGGCAGGGCGACAGTATACAGCCTTGCCGGACTCCTTTTCCAATTTTGAACCAATCAGTGGTTCCTGTTCCAGTTCTCACTGTTGCTTCTTGACCCGCATATAGGTTTCTCAAGAGACAAATGAGATGGTCTGGTACTCCCATCTCTTTAAGAACTTGCCACAATTTGTTGTGATCCACACAATCAAAGGCTTTTGCATAGTCAATGAAGCAGAAGTAGATGTTTTTCTGGAACTCCCTAGCTTTCTCCATGATCCAGCGTATGTTGGCAATTTGATCTCTAGTTCCTCTGCCCTTCGAAATCCTGCCTGTACTTCTGGTAGTTCTCGATCCACATACTGCTGGAGTCTAGCTTGTAGGATTTTAAGCATAACTTTACTAGCATGTGAAATGAGTGCAATGGTGCGATAGTTTGAACATTCTTTGGCATTGCCTTTCTTTGGAATTGGAATGTAAACTGACCTTTTCCAATCCTGTGGCCACTGTTGAGTTTTCCAAATTTGCTGGCAAATTGAGTGTAGCACTTTTACTGCATCTTCTTTTAAGATTTTGAATAGCTCAGCTGGAATACTGTCACCTCCACTAGCTTTGTTGTTGCTCAGATTTTCTAAGGCCCATTTCACTTCACATTCTAGGATGTCTGGTTCGAGGTCAGTGACCATCTCATTGTGGTTATCTGGGATGTTAAGCTCATTCTTGTATAGTTCTTCTGTGTAGTTTTGCCATCTCTTCTTAATCTCTTCTGCCTCTGTTAGGTCTCTGCCATTTTGGTCCTTTATCATGCCCATCTTTGCATGAAACGTTCCCTTCATATCTCCAATTTTCTTGAAGAGATCTCTGGTCCTCCCTATTCTGTTGTTTTCTTCTATTTCTTTGCACTGTTCATTTAAGAAGGCATTCTTATCTCTTCTAGCTACTCTCTGGAATTCTGCATTCAATTGGGTGTATCTTTCTCTTTCTCCTTTGCCTTTCGCTTCCCTTCTTTCCTCAGCTATTTGCAAAGCTTCCTCAGACAGCCATTTTGCTTTCTTGCATTTTTTTTTCTTTGGGATGGTTTTAGTTGCTACCTCTTGTACAATGTTGCGAACTTCCATCCATAGTTCTTCAGGCACTCTGTCTATCAGATCTAATTCCTTAAATCTATTTGTCACCTCTACTGTATATTCATCAGGAATATGATTTAGTTCATACCTGAGTGGCCTAGTGCTTTTCCCTACTTTTTTCAATTTAAGCCTAAATTTTGCAACGAGAAGCTCATGATCTGAGCCACAGTCAGCTCCTGGTCTTGTTTTTACTGACTGTATACAGCTTCTCCATCTTTGGCTGCAGAGCACATAGTCAATCTGATTTCTATGTTGACCGTCTGGTGATGTCCATGTGTAGAGCCGTCTCTTGGGTTGTTGGAAAAGAGTGTTTGTTATGACCATCGTATTCTCTTGACAAAATTCTATTAGCCTGTGCCCTGCTTCATTTTGTACTCCAAGGCCAAACTTGCCTGTTATTCCGGTTATCTTTTGGCTTCCTACCTTAGCATTCCAATCCCCCATGATGATAAGGACATCATTTTTGGTGTTAATTCTATAAGGTGCTGTAGGGCTTCATAGAACCGGTCAATTTCATCCTCTTCAGCACCAGTGGTTGGGGCATAGATTTGGACTATTGTGATATTGAATGGTTTGCCTTGGATTCGAATTGAGATCATTCTGTCATTTTGGGGATTGTATCCCAGTATTGCTTTTCCTATTCTTTTATTGACTATGAAGGCTACTCCATTTCTTCTGAGGGATTCTTGCCCACAGTAGTATACCTGATGGTCATCTGAGTTAAATTCACCCATTCCTGTCCATTTTAGTTCGCTGATTCCTAAGATGTCGATGTTCAGTCTTGTCATCTCTTTTTTGACTACGTCTAGCTTGCCTTGATTCATGGATCTTACATTCCAGGTTCCTATGGAGAAAAAATCTTTACAGCATCGGACTTTCCTTTCACCACCAGATATATCCACAGCTGAGCGTCCTTTCGGCTTTGGCCCAGTCGCTTCATTCTTTCTGGCGCTACTAGTACTAGCCCTCTGCTCTTCCCCAGTAGCATATTGGACACCTTCCGACCTGAGGGGCTCATCTTCCAGCGTCATATCTTTTTACCTTTTAGTACTGTCCATGGGGTTTTCATGGCAAAGATACTGGAGTGGTTTGCCATTTCCTTCTCCAGTGGATCACATTTTGTCAGAACTCTCTGCTATAACCTGTCCATCTTGGGTGGCCCTGCACGGCATAGCTTATAGCTTCATTGAATTACGCAAGCCCCTTCGCCACAACAAGGCAGTAATCCATAAAGGGGGACATTAGAATAGACTGTTTTATATAAACTTTTCTCCATTATTTCCTCAGCCATTAGTTTCCTTTTGTGAGCTCCAATTGGCATGACATATGATATACCATGTGATTTATAATATACATATTTCATGTTTATATGACCTCATGTACTACCTGATGTAATCTCTTAGACAGTCAAGGATTGTTTAAAGTTCCTGCATATATCAGGAGCATAGTTTTAATAAAGGAGATAATAATAAAAGAGATTCAGTGTATTCCATCTACACAAGATGGGGGACAGCTGCCATGCTGGTAGTGTATCATTATATTTGTGTATAAAAACTGTCAGTGTACCTATAGCAAACAAATGTACTTTAAAGTCACAAATCCAAAGCAGGTTTTTTTCCTCATTGGAGTATGTCTAATTAATTAGTTTGATCATACTATACAGAGATCAGTAATTACACAACCAATATATTCTTTCATAAACTTTATCATCTGTGGGGCTGCAATGATCCAGATAATGACCAGTTAGGAAGAAATACATAAATATCTCGGTTGACAACCTAATAGCTATTGGGAAATTTACAATTCAGGTATAATAGTCCTAGTTATATTTAACTACAGTTGCTCCATGTCTCAAATTTTTAGTTAAAAATTCTATAAAATTTACTGTGTTATGAAAATTCTTGTAAAGAACAGCCTTAAGCTGTTGGTCTTGCTGGTCCTTAATAGTGTTCTTTATCGTAACCATTAGATATTTCCTAATTTATGACAGAGAATGTCCCACTCAAGATAAAACACAATAACATTTAATATTCAGACTATAAATAAATAAGAATAAAGAGAAAACAATGAAAAGAAAATTAAGTTTAAACACATGCCAAAATAATATAGTTGAATATTGGCTTAAAAGTGAACAACAGAGATCAGGACAACTATAGTTTGCAGTGGAATTTAATTCTATAATGATATGATCGAAAAAAGCCATTTCTGTAAGGTGACAGGAAACAATAAGATTTTCAGAACAAGCTTTCAAGTCCATCTTAAGTGAGAAGTAATTATTGATCCTAGACCATTTTAGTGAGGAATAATTATTGATCCTAGACCATTTTAGTGAGGATGTACAAAACATATTCTGACCTTAACATGGCCATTTTCAGTATTTCAATTTCAGGATAAAACATTTCAATGAAGCATTGTTCCAAGATGGGGCCAAAAGCAGGAGTTTCATTCCATAAAATTATATATTATCAGGAACTCTTGAATTCTCCAGATGTCTTCAGATGAATACAGAATAACAAAGTTGGAAGGAAAAAACTTGAGGTTCTTTTAGTCTAAGACCCTGCCCAAGCAGAAGAGCCCATACCATTCTAGACAAATGGCTGTTCAACCTCTTCTTCAAAATCTCCAGTGATGGAGCACCCAGTTTCTAGAGGCCTGATTAATTGTTCTCACTGTCAGAAAATTTGCCTTAATTCTAGATTGGACCTCTCTTTTTGATAGTTTTCCATCAGTTACTTTTTGTCTTGCCTCAGGTGTTTAGAGAATAAGTCAACCCCCTCTTCTCTGTGACAGCCCCTCAAATATTGGAAGATCACTACGTCACCGCTAATTCTTCTCTTCGTTAGATTAGATATACCCAGTTCCTATAACCATTCATCATATTCTTTAGCCTCACTCCCTTAATTATCTTTGTTGCCTTCTCTGCACTCCTTTTAAAGTCTCAACATCCTTTTTTATCATGGTGATCAAAATGGATGCAGTATTCTTTTCAAGCCAGGTTATACAAAGCAAAATATAAACTGTGCATGGGCTTTGCAACTACTGTTTCTATGATGGTGAGTTTTCAGATTATCAAATTCAAACACAATGTTACTTTATTTGTTTGTTGAACTTTACAATCAGTTCGCCAAATGGAAACAGGGGAGAAGCTTTAACAAATCCACAATTATTGGTATTTTGTAGTTCATAGCTCTACTGAAATGAAACCACTGCTGAGCTAAGTGCTTTAGTTCTGTAGATAGACAAGTTACCAAAAATTGTTTAATTTATGTAGATATTTTAAAATTTTACTCAACCTTTGTGAACTTAGGACACACATCAAGGTAGCAACGGCCTTGTTCCTATTGTTCCCTATGGAAAAACACTCAAAATTTCAAGTTTTGTGGTTATCAAAATACAATGCAAAGGTGTTCTGTTCTTAAATATAGTTCTGTTCTTAGAAAGTTTTTTAATCTATGCAGAACTCTACATTTCAGTTGTCTAAATAAATGAACCACAACTGGAAAACTGCACATGGGCTCAGTTACGATAAGTCATTGCTAATAGGATACAGCAATTCATACAGTGACCTTGTTCATAGGTCAGATTGGTTTCTTTAAAAAAGAAACAATTAACAAATTTTCATTGTACCATACTGACCTAAAGCATCCTTTTGTTTTTCCACAATCATCCGCTCGAATTTTTGCAAATGGATCTACTGGAGGAGCAGTAGGAAATGGATAACCTTTAAGAATCAGAATCAACATATTAATTATTTAATACAATGCATTTTAATTTAATACTAAATGTTAATTTGTATTTTATAAAGTCATCAAATTTATATCCCACATTTTGTTTCTTACTGGAGTCAGCAATCACCCTGCAAAGAGTCATAGTCAGATGTTAAAATAAAAAGTGTTCTCATTTCTTCATAATCTACATGAAAGAACCATTGAATGATAATTGGAAAAGACTTTAAAGTCATCATCCAATCCTCTGGTCTAAACTAAAGGATCTAAATTAAAGTTGTTATGAAATATGTTCACTGTCTTTTTGTACACAACCAATAAACCATCTCATATTCCCCTCAGATCTAAGGCCTTTCTATTTCTGTTCATACATCATTTTTCCATCAATTTCCTGCAAACCACATTCTTCCTGGTCAGATTATGTATTTTTAGAAAGCCAGAATTCAGAAATGTTTTTGCCAATGTGCTTTTAATGCCATTAAGAATTAGAGCTTAAGAATTAGAGCTACACACCCACAGAAGGTGTTTGGCCTAGGTCTCAGGATAGAGCAGAGTGAATTATGTATATCAATCTTGACAGATTATTAGCAAGAGACCCTTTATACCAGGAAATTGGCTATTCACTATTACCTGCCACTAGCCTTTTTCTTTGCTTGTTTTAATGACTTACCATCTGTAATACTGAGGGGAAGATATAATATTATGCCTTGTGCAAAGTGGATCTGTCCCTATGATCTGGAGGAATCTGAGATTCTAGGCATATATTCCTTTGATGTCCTTTTTACACAAACAGCACTGTTCTCTCTTAAATGTGCTTGTATATAGAAATTCTGAGAATAATATAATTTGATTTTTACAGTCAGACTACAATCCTTACATTGCCAGGAAAATTGAAAATTTTTCTTTCATTGTCATTGCTTCATGCTGAAAACTGTGGAAAGCATTCTAATTTTTTTTTAAAAAAAATATTTTATTAATTTTTTATAATTACAAATCTTTAGTGCTTAGCAAACAATGTGTTGTCTGAGTCCACATATTTAACTTGATAATGCATCTCAAATTCCTATTCTCTCTCCATTTTTCTAGCCATTGGTAAAATACATCCCATGTTTGAAAGTATTCTATATCTTCTTTCCCTTTCATTTTCAATGTAAGCCTATCCATTTCCGCAGTCCAAAATTTTCTTAATTATTTCTTCTTCAGCTGGTATTTCTTCATTTTTCTAATGCTGTGCAAATACAATTCTCGCTGCTGTTAATACATGTAACATTAAATATACACATATACATTCTTTATCATAATTTTCTGAGTTATACGTAAAAGAAATAATTCTGGCTTAAAATCTAGCTGTTTTCTTAACATTTTCTCTAACCACATATGTATTTTTGACCAGATTTTTTTTTTTTTTTTTTTGCTTTGGGGCAGTGGTTTTCAACCTTTTTAATGCCACGACCCCCAACCAGTCGTAAGTCGAGGACTACACAACCAGTCGTAAGTCGATGACTTTCCCTGCCTGGGAGCATCACGCATGCGCGGTGCTGCCCCCTGCGCTGGCCAAGGCGTAGCTGGCAAGCAGCAGAGATGGAGCAGGCTGATCACCAGCTAGGCCACCAGCTGGCCCAGCCCAAGGGAGGTAAGGCACCCACGGGGCCCGACACGCGCCAGCAATCCTCCCTGTGCCCACCGGCCTCCCACCTCCCACCTCTGGCCTTCTTTTACTTACATTTTTAGTAATTGCTCAGCAGGGAAGGGTGGAAACTTCCAGACAGCTCGCCTTGGCTACAGACAACTTGCAGCACCATTTGCAGAATGGGACTTTTGGCGGGCTCAAGCAGGGCAGAGACAACCTGGACAATTCCTATTGGCTTTTGAAAGCCAATAGAATTAGATTCTATTCAAGAGAATCTATTCTATTGGCTTTCAAAAGTCGATAGAATAAAAGGGAGTAGCACAGCTAAGGAAAAGGGGAAAAAATGGCAAACTGCGTTGTTTGGCGATCCCCATGAAATGGTTGTTCGACCCCAAATGGGGTCGCGACCCACAGGTTGAGAACCGCTGCTTGGGGGCATGTCCACCAAAGGTGGTAGTACGTGCCTGGCTTTTGCCTACATTTCCAACAATTGCTAGACATGTTTTTAAACATTTCTGCTAACCTCACGAGTGGTAAATGCCATCTGTAAAACATTTTATATAGATTTTCTTTCTTCTTTCTTATTTTCTTTAAAGAAGCAGTTAGAGTGCAGTAGAGTGCAGTACTGCAGGCCACTTTAGCTGACTGTGTTCAGCAGGTCAGTGGTTCAAATCTCACCGGCTCAAGGTTGACTCAGCCTTCCATCCTTCCGAGGTAGGTAAAATGAGGACCCAGATTGTTGGGGGCAATGTAAATATATATATACATTGCTTACTGGTGTACACCTCTTAGAGAGTGCTTGCACTTAAAGCAGCATATAAGTCTCATAAATAAATAAATAAAATAAATAAATTTGCTGCTATTTGTATAAATTGTTTCTCTTTCAGTAAAGATTGATTCAGTGACTGTTGTGTTTTCTGTTCGTTGCGGCATTGAAGAGGCAGCAGGTGAAACAGAACTTTCTTTATTGCAAAGGTAAAACCTAAACTGAAAAGCTCATGCTCCACCCTTTTTTATACACTCAGCTCAGGAGGCGGCAACCAATCAGATTAAAGTATTCTCCCGCTTAAATGCATACTAACTAGTCTGTAGACATAAAGTCTGGCTGGCAGACCACATGGTCTGCTAATTGTTCCTACACAGCTCCCAGCAACCTGTTTCATCAATTTAACTCAATACATTACATTGACCATCTAAATTTTTTTCTTTGTCGGATTATGATCTGCCCATACATTGGTTTCTATCTCAATCTCTTGTATGTTTATTCTTAGTTTAGAACACAGGTCGGCAACCCATGGCTCCGGAGCCGCATGTGGCTCTTTGAGCCATCACCTGTGGCTTCAGAGCCTCCTCTGCCATTTACAGAGAGAGAGAGACACACAGAGGCACTTTTGCTTCCCTTCTCTTTTTCTCTCTCTCTCTCTCAGGCGGACTTACCTCCTGCAGGGCTCCTGATTGGCCCTGCACCCAGGTGCCCCACCCCCTGAGAGAAGCGCAGCCAGGGCCTCATGGCCTTGGAGCCGCTCGGGGAAGCCCTGGGATTCCTGCTGGGAACGGTCCGCTGGAGGCTTCACTGAGCGGGCCAGCCCTCCCTCAAGCCGCGGCCCAAGGGAGACCAGCCCCTGCGATCCCCAGCCAGCCTGACCATTGGCCCTGCTGGCCGGGAAGGTGCGCTGGAGTCTAGGCTGCCGGGAAGAAAGAAGGAGATGCAGCAATGGTAGGAGAGCCTTATCCTGGGGCCTGGCGCTGGCGGCGGCTTCCTGGCCCTCCTCTTCCTCCTCCCCTTCTTCCTCCTGCTGCCCTACAGGTGGCTCGGGCAGGCGCCGGGACAAGAGGGGTGCCTGGGGGGAGCAGCGGGGCTGGCGGAGGTGCTGGCAGGTGCTGCGCAGCACCAGCCCCACCGTGGCTCCATCAGATGGGCGGAGGGGGAGGGAGGGCAGCACGGAGGCTCGGCTGGGGCGGTGGTTTCCTCACCCCCCCTCCTCTCTTTCTTCCTCCTGCTGCCCCGAAGCAGCTCAGGCAGGCGCTGGGACAAGAGGGGTGCCTGGGGGGAGCAGCCGGGCTGGTGGAGGGGCTGGCAGGGGCCGCGCAGAACTAGCCCCTACCGTGGCTCCATCGAATGGGTGGAGGGCAAGGCCGGGCAGCTGGGAATCCCAGCTGAGGCGGCGGCGGCAGTTTCCTCGCCCTCCTCCTCTCTTTCCTCCTGCTGCCCCCTGGGCAGCTTGAGTGGGCACCGGGGCAAGAGGAGTGCCTGGGGGGGCAGCCAGGCTGGCAGGGGCTGCGTGGCACCAAACCCCACCGCTGCTCCATTGATGGACAGAGGGTGAGGCTGGGCAGCATGGAGTCCTGGATGGGGCGGTGGTGGCTGCTTCCTCGCCCTCCTCCTCTTCTTCCTCCTGCTACCCCCAAGCAACTCAGGCAGGCGCCGGGACAAGAGAGCTGCCTGGGGGGAGCAGCCAGGCTGGCAGAGGGGCTGGCAGAGGGGCTGGCAGGGGCCGCGTGGCACTAGCTCTCACCGCAGCTCCATTGATAGATGGAGGGTGAGGCCAGGCAGCGCAGAGTCCCGGCTGGAGCGGTGGCAGCTGCTTCCTCGTCCTCCTCCTCTTCCTCCTGCTGCCCCCCAAGCGGCTCGAGCGGGCACCGGGACAAGAGGGGTGCCTGGGGGGAGGAGCCGGACTGGCAGAGGGGCTGGCAGGGCCGTGCGGCACGAACCCCCACTGCGGCTCTATCGGATGGGCGAAGGGCAGCACGGAGTCCTGGCTGGGGTGGCAGTGGCAGTTTCCTCGCCTTCCTCCTCTTCTTCTTCCTGCTGCCCCCAGGTGGCTCAGGCAGGTGCTGGAGCAAGAGGGATGCCTGGGAGGGAGCAGCCAGGCTGGCAGAGGGGCTGGCAGGGGCCGTGCAGCACCAGCCCCCACCGCGGCTCCATCAGTGGACGGGGGGTGAGGCCGGGCAGTGTGGAGTCTCAGCTGGGGCAGTGGTGGCTGCTTCCTCACCCTCCTCCTCCCCTTCTTTCTCCTGCTGCCACCCTGGCGGCTCAGGTGGGCACTGTCCCCACTGCGGCTCCATCGATATGCGAAGGGCGAGGCTGGGCAGCGTGGTGTCCTGGTGGGGGCGGCGGCTGGGCCGGGGGTGGCAGGGACCCCTGACAATGCAGCCAGGTCGCCACCGCCACTGGAGCCACTGCCTCCCATATTGCTCCCCCTCCCTGCCCATTTGGCTGAGCACGCGTGGAGGCCGGGGCAGTGGGGATTCCCACAATGCTGCCGTAAGAGAGAGAGAGAGGAGAAACAAAGGAAAAGAGAGAGGAAAGAGAGAGAAAAAGAGGAAACAGAGAAAGAGGAAAGAGAGGAAAGAGAGAGGAAACAG